TAAACCCACACACCTACAGATACTTGATTTTTGACAAAGAAGCCAAAACAATACAATGGAAAAAGATAACATATTCAACAAATGGTGCTAGTCTAATTGGATGTCCAAATGAAAATGCAAAATAATCCATATTTATGGGTTATTACACAAATAGATACACATTTATCAATCTGCACAAAACTAAAGTCTAAGTGCATCAAAGACCTTAATATAAAAACAGACACATTAAACCTCTTTGAACATTTTTAAGGGATTCTCAGGCATTAAAAATTCCTCTGATGAGAATTGTCTGTTTAGCTCTGCACCCCATTTTTTTAATTGGACTATTTGGTTTGTTGGTGTTTAATTTCTTGAGATCTTTATATAGTTGGGATATTAGCCCTCTGTCAGATGTTGAATTAGTGAAGATCTTTTCTCATTTTATAGGCTACCATTTTGATGTTGATTTTGTCCACTGCCTTTTAGAAGCTTTTCAGTTTCAAGAGGTCCTATCTATTAAATGTTGATCTTCATGCCTGAGCTGTTGGTAATTCTGTTCAGGAAGTTGAACAATGCGTTCAAGGCTGATTTCCTCTTTCTCTTCTAATAGATTTAACGTTCCTGGTTTTATGTGGAGGTCTTTGATCTACTTGAACTTGAGTTCTTTGCAGAGTGATAGATATGAATCTATTTGTATTCTTCTACATGCAGACATCCAGTTAGGTCAGCACCATTTGTTGAAGATGCTTCCTTCCTTCCTTCTTTTCTTTCTTTCTTTCTTTCTTTCTTTCTTTCTTTCTTTCTTTCTTTGTTTTGATTGGATGATTTTGGCTTCTTTGTTAAAAAAAATCTATTGTCCATAGTTGTATGGGTTTATTCCTGGGTCTTTGGTTTGAATCTAGAGATCATACTTTTTTGTGCCAACACCTTTTGGGTTTTATTATTGTTGTTGTTACTGCTATGTAGCAGAGCTTGAAATCAGGAGTAGGGATACCTCCAGAAGTTCTTTTATTGTACAGGATTGTATTCACTATCATGTGTTTGTTGGTTTGTTTGTTTCCATATAAAGGTGAGGATTGCTCTTTTCAGATCTGTAAATAATTCTGCTAAAAATCTCATGGGAATTGCTTTAAATTTGTAGGTTGCTTTTGGTAAAATGATCATTTTACTAAGTCAATCCTACTGATCCATGAGCATGGGAGATTTTTTTCATTTTCTGATATCTTCCTCAATTTTTTTTCTTCAGAGACTTGAAACTTTTGTCATATGGGTGTTTCACCTTCTTGTTTAGAATTACATCAAGCTGTTTTATATTATTGGAGGGTATTGTAAAAGGTGTTTTTACCCTAATTTTTTCTCTGCTTGTTGATCATTTGTATAAGGGAGGGCTACTGAGTTTTTATGTTAATTTTGTATCCAGCCCCATTACTGAAAGTGTTTATCTCGTCTAGGAGTACCCTGTTAGAATTTTGGTGGTCACTTCTGTATACCATCATCTCATCTACGTATAAATATAGTTTGACTTCTTTTCCAATTTGTATCCTCTTGATCTCTTTTAATTTTCTGTGGCTCTAGCTAGAACTTCAAGTACTATATTGAATAGATATGGAGAGAGTAAGCAGCCTTGTTTTGTCCCTGATTTTAATGGAATTGCACTTAATTTCTCTCTTTTTAATTTGATTTTGGTTATTGGCTTGCTGTATATTGTCTTTATTAGGTTTAGGTATGTGCCTTGTATCCCTGATCTCTCCAAGCCTTTTAACATAAAGAGGTATAGGATTTTCAAATGCTTTTTCAGCATCTAATAAGATGATCATTTTTTTTTCTTTCAGTTTGCTTATCTGTTGGATTGTATTGGTGGGTTTTCATATACTGAACCATCCCTGCATCACTGGAATGAAGCCTACTCATTTATCACGTTGGATTATATTTTTGATGTGTTCTTAGATTCAGTTTGGGAGTATTTCACTGAGAATTTTGTGTCAATGTTCTTAGGGAAATTTATCTGAAATTCTTTTCTTTGTTGAGTCTTTGTGAGATTTAGGTATCAGGATGACTGCGGCCCCACAGAATGAGTTTGACAATGTTTCTTCTGTTTCTGTTTTGTGGAATAAATTGAGGAGCTTTGGAATTAGATCTTCTTTGAAAGTATGGTAGATATCTGCTCTAAAATCATGTTGCCCAGATCTTTTTTGTTGGAAGTCTTACTTACTGTTTTTATTTACTTAGGGATTATTAGACTATTTAAATAGCTTAATTGATCTTGATTTAATTTTGATAAGTGATATCTATCTAAAAAAATCCTCCATTATGTAGAGATTTTCCAATTTTGTGGACTACAGGCTTCTGAAATAAGACTTAATGATTCTTTGGATTTCTTTAATGTCTGTTGTTAGGTCCCCCTTTTCATATCTGATTTTGTTCATTTGGATACTGTCTCCCTGCCTTTTACTTATTTTGTCTTAGGGTTTGTCTGTCTTGTAGATTTTCTCAAGAACTAGTTCATGATTTCATTGATATTTGAATTGTTTTATTTGTTTCTAAATTATTGATTTCAGAACTGAGTTTGATTCTTTCCAGCTGTCAGCTCCTCTTTGTTGTGTATGCTGAAAATATTTTAGTGTAAAATAACAGTTATTAGTATATTACTTATTTTTCCAATGAACATATTAGGACTATCTTTACCAGTGCCTAAGTTAAAATGCATAAAATATTCAATGGCTACATCAGTGTTTGTGGTTTTATTTTTTAATAATTTGGTATAAACTGATTATCTGCTACCACAAATTCAGGTCACCTTTCAATGAATATCTCTGAAAGGTTTGCATTAAGGTTCATTTTGTGGTTTTCATAATAACCCACTAATTTATTTTATGCATATCCTGTGACTTTCTTACTAATTTGAATCTAGTCATTGCTACTTGTTTACTTATAGACTAATCGCTATCACTAACTTTATTGATTTTTGTATTTTCCCCTTTATTTATTTACTACAATTTATTTACTCTTTAATCCCAGCTATAGTCCCTTGCTCAACCCCTCCCAATCCTGCCCTCCCTCCATCTTCTCCTCCCATGCTTTTTTATTTATATGTTATACCAGTTGATAATATTGATAAAAAAAATTTGATCCAAGTGAACTCTAATAACTCATAGGTGATAACTGTGCATGGCATAATAAACTAAAGTATTCATATGCCCTTGTGCCTATTGAAACAATAATACTTTGCTTGTGAATTCAAAATATATGAAGTCCTTAACTTCATTTCATCCTGTCTGATAATTAGGCAATCTTCTCTCCTTTAAAATAATCTATTGATCAGCTGATGGGTGGAACCTAGTAGCTATACTGGGCTTCTGCCTGCAGGCATAGAAGAGTGTTGTTAATAGTGTTAGGAGCTGGCTCTCTCCAGTGGTGTGGCCAGGCATTGGTTGGACATTACCTCAATCTCTGCTCTATCTTTATACCTGTACATCTTCTAGGCAGTCTAAATTTTGGGTCAAAGATTTTTTACTCGGGTTGGTGTTCCCCTACCTCTACTTGGAGTCTTTCTGGTTAGAGGATGGCTTCTTTAGTCTGCATATCCCTTACTAGTAAGGTCTCTGCTATGGTCACCTCTAAATCCTCCCAGAAGCCTACCCTGTCATCTGTGTCCAACCTTTCTCAGAGATTCCCCAGGTCAAGGTTTCTCTTCTCTCTACATGTCCTCTGTCCTCTTTACCCCTCTTCTCTGCTCTCTATACACCAGATCCCCACCTTCATTTCCCTCAGCACTAAGCAGATGCTGAAATTCACATCAAACATTGGGCAGAGCACAGGGATCCTTGTAGAAGAGTGGGAGGAAGGACAGAAGGATGAGGAGGAAACAGATCTCAAAAAGAAGACCAACAGAGCCAACTATACTGAGCCAGAGTTTGGGGGAGTGGGAAGTGGGTCTCTCAGAGACTGAAACACCAACCAAGGACTATGTATACCCTAGACCTAAGATCCCCACTCAAATGTACATGATGGACAGCTTGGTCTTCATGTAGATCCCCTAACAACAGGAGTGCAGCTGTCTCTGACAAGAACTTTTTTATATCCCTCTGATCACTTCCCCCTGGCAGGGCTGTCTGGCCAGGCCACTGCAATAGAAGATGCATTTACTCTTGATACAACTTGATGTACAGGGATGGGGGGGTCCCCTTTTCTTCCTCCTCCTATGATACAGGAAAGAGGGAAGGAAGGTGGAACCTGAAGAGAGGAGGAAGAGAAGTACAACTGGGATGTAAAGTAACTAAATAAATAAATTAGAAAATATAAATACTCTGTTGAAACCCAGTGGCCTCGGTGTGCAGAAAGGAGATCAGTTGCCTATCAATGTCCCTCTCATTTCACAAATTCCTGCTTTTGAGGAAAACTCTCTGCCCATGTTTAAGGATGTGGCTCTAGCTAAACTAACTCTTCCTGAGCCAATTTAAAAGAAGAGACCAAGAGCTAGCTAGTGTTTGTTTTTTTTTTTTCATCATTTAATTATTGAAACCTTTTATCTCCTATGGAGGTATACTGTGATTTGTAGCCTCAGAATATCCCCCAGAGAGTCCAGTGGTAACTACCAACCTTTGACATCTTTATGGAATATGATTATTATCCTCTATTTTCAATAATATTTATTTTTCTACTTTTATATGCTTTGGCCATGAGAATAAAGGCTATATTTGAATTAATTATAATTTCACGAAAGTACTTCATAAAATCATTGTCAACAGCTTGTGCTTTGTTTATGCTCAACATTTTGTGTGTGTTAGAAAGATGACTCTGCTTTTCAGAGAGAGTATTCAGACATTACTTGGTCAGTCCTTTGCTTTAATGCATTAGCCTTTTGGTGAATTAAAAAAATTCATCTTTAGATTATCTTTAGTTCTACAAATACATAGAAATTATTAGGAACAATGTTGAGATTGATATTATGTGAAGGTGAAGTTTTATTTGCTACTAAATTTTTATGTTTATATCGCTCTATTTGTTCAACACAAAACCAGAAATCACAGACCACAAATCCAAGCACTAGCAAAGGTGATGTTCTCCAAATGGATCCCATGACAGTGATGGTGCTCAACTCAACACATCCATTTGAATATGAGACATCAGAACATGGAGGAAAGACCATGTTTCATGCTAAAGTGGCTACTGAGAACCAGTATTACCATGTGAAAGTTTTCAACGTCTCCCTGAGAGAGAAGTTCACAAAAAAGAATTTCATCATCATCTCCAATTTTGTCAAGGGGAAAGAAATCCTAGAGATAAATGAAAATTCCTCTGTGGTTGAAGCTGGCCCAGACCTAAAGTTTGAAGTTCCCAACAGTATTATCAAAAGAGCAAATGAAACACCCAAGATCCGTCATATTGAAAAGGGTGCTTCAGGAGCACTGTTTTATGGCTTGTTTACATTAAACAAGGTAATGCCTGAAAACTTGTTTTTAATTTTTCTCAACCAACTCCTGGAACCAAATAGGATAATTTTCCAGTCACTGCTTAATGACAGTATTGTGACACAGAATTCTACCTTTGCTTTGGTAGAGGGTGAAATAATTCCACATATAAGGGAATGAGAGTGGATGACTATTTAACAGTCTATTTTAAGATATCTCTGAGAGAGCTGTCTGAAAATGATTTACCGAAAACTTTATTTTACTAATTACAAATACCCGCCCTCACACACAGTGCGAGGCAACGGTGCAGGACATAGGTTGGTGCCAGGCTAACTGTCTCAGATTTTTAAGCTCTGCTGCAACTATACAATACTGATGATTTTCTTTCTGTCGACTTTGTTTCTAAAGGTTCCCTGAACAAGGGTGAAAATTCATTGTGGCATGTGTTTCAAATCATAAGTAGATTACGTGGCATCTCTTAAACTCAAAACCATTCAATAGAATGCATCTACTATCTCTGCAGATAGTTTAATCAATTAGCATTGATTCCTGTGTCTTGTTAAATTAACTATTTTATATTAGCTTAGAAACTGAGAACCATTCTATGAAATGACATTTGGAAGGCAAGTGAATCTAGTTTTCTTGATTCACTAGATTTCTAGATTTGGTAGATATATACATACATACATCTCATTGATGCATCAATGGCCAAATTCATCATATTAGAATTCAGTTAAAAAATGATGACTTTGGTGAATACAACAAATGCTTTATGAATTGACAACCTTATGACTTTTCCATCTCTCTTCTTTTAAAAGCTCCTTTACTTCAAATCCATTACTTTATAGCACAGGCTTTAGAAATTATGTATCTGAACACTATTGAAAAGTTGATGAGCAATAGCATAAGCAAAATTCAATACAATATAAACTGGGGATCACTGGCTTACTTCAACATAAAACATGAAATCGGTATTAAGAGGGTCTAGATGCGTAAATTACTGCAATCTTACCTGTAGATTCCCTATAACCTACTGAGTTAGGAACACTAGGAGCAAATGTCCATTCATTCCTTTAAACAGAAGATACAAAGATGGCTGCCCAAAGTCCTCATTACTGTGGTCTCAGGTAATTTACAGGAATCTAAGCTGTTCTGGAACAGGAAGCAGTGAAAAACAGAAAGAACATTTATTGCCCTAACAGTTTCAGGCAGAAATCTCCAGGATAAGAAAGTGAATCATTACAGTAATAAAATTTTTTCAAACGACTTCATTGAAGATACCTGTATGCCTATGTCTGTAATAGGTTTCATATTTCCTATGATCATTTTTGTCCTGAAAAAAAAAGGTTTTCTTTGAATGTATAGCAATGACTGTGAATAATTTAATTTTCATAAAATGAATATTAATTTGCCTTTTGCAGAAAACAGTGAAAGTAAAGAACACAATCTATGAAATAAAAGACAATGAAGAAAATCATATAGAAGTGGTGGGGAACGGCAAATGTTACAACATCAACTGTGAGGAAGGAGATAAACTCCAACTCTACTGCTTTCAGCTGAGAACAATTGACAAGCAACCAAAATTAGTGAGTGGAGATCACAGTTTAATTGAGGTAGGAAGTAGACTGGGAATGGACTTCCCAAATAGGAAACTGACTTTTTCTTTAGGATTCTGAACATGAGGTTTTCATTATTTTACATAGACAACTCTGTATCTGGAAGAGAGAATTAAGATGATGCCGTTATACTCATTTCTATGAAAAAAGAATTTTTCAAAATGGATATTGAAGAAATAGTCCAATAATATTGTATTTATGCTATGTAACAAGATGTATGAAAAACATAGAATGGCATAGAAATCCATTTCAATAGTGAACAAGAGCAAGGATTTTGAGTAAGTTAGATGTGATATGAATGCCAGCTACAACAATTAGGACCTGACTGATACTAGGGAAAGTTTAACTTTTTTTTTCCTTTTTAAATAATTTATGTGATTTCGTTTTATGTGTATTTGTGTGAAGGTGTCAGATCCCTTGGAACTGGAGTTACAGTCAGTTGTGAGCTGCCATGTGGGTGCTGGAAATTGAACACTGGTCCTTTGGAAGAACAGTCAGTGCTCTTAACTACTGAGACATCTGTCCAGCCCCTGAAAGTTTAACTTTTAATCTGGACTTTAAGGAAAAAAAATAATTGATATAGTGATGAGTTATTAAAGTGTCTATCTTATCATGAAAAATGAATAGGTAGTAGGTACTATTTTCTTAACTGGGTGAAGAGACTAGAGAGAAAAATCTACAAAATAGATTTTGTGATAGACAAACAGATAAGTTGTGATAGACACTATTAATTCCACTAGCTGTGAAGCACAAAGATATAGCATTCATTTTTAAACAATTTTATTTGGTGTTCCTTAAAGCCTTTCCCTATAAACTCCCAAACTTAAGTAGGAGAGAACAGGTTAGTGGGAAGAGGGGGAAGAGCCCACTTTACTTCTACTGGCTGTTTAGGGTCAAAGAGTTATTTTGGGGGGATATACCAATCTCTGTCAACAGCAAATGCAGCCAGCAGTCGCCTCCAAGTTGCTGTGCCCGAACAGTTTCTCTCCATCTGTCTGCTCCAAACCACCACACCGTCTGTTTTTGGTCTCTTCAAACTGCTACTTGCTACAAGCCACAGACCACACACCAACACCACATACCACACTTTCTTCTTCTGGGCCCTCAGGTTTATATCCTCAGATTCCTATACCATGCCCCTCTCCATGCCATATTGTGCAGGCCATTACCAGCTCTCAAAGGCCATGTCCCTCACTTGACAGTTCTCAGCTGTGGCCAATCTAAAGCCCAAACTAAAGTCCCACACCTGGGATTAAAACAAAACATACTTACATAACATAAATGAGTTTTTAAAGAAACCAAAACTTCCATTACACAAAGACTCTGAGAACATAAGGCCAAATTGCTGTTCAAAAGGTCATATAAATGTAGTATTGTCAGAAATAAGGAAATGGATTATTCATTGTAGAACAGGTAAATTTTAAAAGGTTTTATGAGGATGAATGCTTAGTTACTTTGATGTATTAGTAAAAAGTAGTTTTTGTATTTGTCATGAAAAATCTGTGTTACAGAGAAACTTGATTCGGAGGCAGAAATATTAGTTAGACACAACTATGAACTTTGACATGCTTATATGCTGTGTCTTTACATTAAATATTCAGTAACTTTGTAAGCTGCTCATGAAACCTTGGCAGTTTGAAAATCATGGTAGCCTTGCGCCACTAGAGCACACAAAGTCTATGGAGCATGACGTTTAAAATCATGCAGCTACTTTATCAAGACATCACAGAAGTATTTCATAACCTGTGTTAAGCATAGGAAAGATAAGTGGGGCCTTGTCTATGGGGGTGACTCAAGTTTAAGTAGAAAGATCCTTGTGGTTTGACAAGCAGCTTGGTAACAGTGGTTTTTGAGAGAGAAAATGGCTTAAAAGAACATTCAAAAGCATTTCAGAGAGAACATTAAGAAGCTGGATAAATGGAACTGATGCTAACACTGAGAATGAAGAATGTAAGGTGGAAGTAGGCTCAGGATGATGTTCAAGTGCCTATAAGAAATTCAATAAATAGCACAAATATTTATTCAGACTTATAAACATAGACATACATATCTGAAACTGAAAATAATTTTGTGTGTATTTTTAAATTTAGGGATACTTGGCAAATCTAATACTTGGATTATATCTACAAATTGCACCATGGGTATTACATTTATGCTAATAGAGAATACCCACTAAATATTTACTATGAGCCGGGATTTTACACAGCGATAGAGAAAGAGTAATTTGTTGTTCTCATTTTATAAGTAGGGTCTAATAATGTTTATTATTTACCCTATGATTATTCTGGCAGTATGACCAACATGCTATCATAATCAATAAGAATATACACTCCTGTTAGATTTTAGATTTGCCTATTTCACCTTAGGCTGGGCAGAAAATATCCACCTATGATATCTCAATATCTCGCATCCAATGCAATCTACTTTGACTATTACTGTCTGGGCTACCTTCCAAGCAATACCCCAAGATACGTGTGTGTTCTTCACATGGTTGCTTCTTCCATCCATGCCATTGTTGGTGTCCTTCCTCCGGGCCTACATGCTTCTCTCTCCACCTAATTCATGGTGGCTTCCTCCTTCCTCTTCTCTTCCTGTCTGTCTCCTTCCCAAGATCTCTTCTGTCCTCCAAGCCCTCCAACCTTAGCCCTGCCAACCTCACCTTTATCCTGCCCGGGTGTCTGCATTTTATTGGTCAAACAGGAGTAATTTCTTAGGCAAGTGTACATGAGAATGTGCTTGTCCAGGCAAGGATGAGATTTTAGGGGCCAGTAATTAGCATCAAATACAAAGCACCAGACTAACCTCCAACAGTAATTGTTTCCTTTTCACTGGAGTAGCTGCAAATGTTCAGGAATAGTCGCTACCAAAGACACTGAGTGGTGGACTAGAAATCCACAAAGTATCTGGCACTGAGGGCAGATTCTTAGACAAGATGAGTACACAGTTCAGTGGTGGTAGTTATGGATCACAATCAGTGGAGCAATAGCTAAAGTTAAAGTGTACTACAAATTAAGTTTAAAAATTGTTGTGGTCAAGATAAAATGAAAGCTGCATGAAACACAGATATAGACTATTTTAAGGAAAAAATCAGACAATGTAGTGACAAGTGATGAAGGCACTCTCATGAAATAACTGCAATAAATGATAAGAGTTAGCTTTCATGGAAGATATACTCCAGATACAGCAGTCCACGTACAGATACTGCTGCATTTTGACATGGGAACATAGGCATTAGTTGTCTCATTTTGAAGATCTCCTAATGCAAGAATCCATGTGTTGCAACTCAGCCTTATACCTCGGAATTTTAGTACTGGGGAAAACCAAAACATCGTGGATTTTGTCTTGTTTTTCTATTCCAAACCATGCTTCAGACAAGAAAATGAAATCCTTTTTGTTATAATTCCCCTCACTGCATCTGGTAAATACCCAACCTACTCAAATAAACTCATAGTTGGAAAAGGTGGCTCAACATAAGGGAGTGTAATGCAGATGTAGCCCATAGCAGCTCAGTGTCCAAGTGGCTTCCACAGTAATGGGAAAAGGGACTGCCTCTGACATGAACTGATTGGCCTGCTCTTTGATCACCACCCCCTGATGGGGAGCAACCTTACCAGGCCATAGAAGATGACAATGCAGCCACTCCTGATGAGATCTGATAGACTAAGATCAGAAGGAAGGAAATGAGGACCTCCCCTATCAGTGGACTTGGAGAGGGGCAAGCATGGGGAGAAAGGGGAGGGAAGGTAGGATTAGGAGGGGAGGAGAGGGGGTTTATGGGGGGATACAAAGTGAATAAAGTGTAATTAATAAAAGTTAAAATTAAAAAATTAAAAAAGGGAGTGCAATGAAGGAGATGAAGCAGTGAAGATCAACAGTTTGAGATAGCAAAAGGTCATATATAGCCCTTGGTGGGAATAGACAAGCATGGGCAATTGGAGAAAGATAAACAGTGTTTTAACTCAATTGCAAGGATCTCAATTGTATTGTTCATTGTTTCTTTCAAGGTCACCAAATGTAAGAAAAAAAAGGAAATACCAACTGCCCATTCAAGCACAAAAGATGAAGAACAGGGCTACATGCAGCATGAATTCTGTTATTTTAAAGTAGAAACACCAAACAAGTTCTGATTTGTGATTATGTATTTTAATTTACAAATTTATTATTCTATTTTTTGATGGAAAATAATAAAAATTCTTTTTTAAAAGTACATCAATACAAAGTACTGTGTGTAATGTGTTTAATTCATGAGTGAACTCCTTGAAGGTGGTATATTTGAGCTTTGAGAGACAAATAGGTCAGAAGACACAGGATTTCATCAATGTTGTCTTCTACATTCTGATCAAATTCCTGAATACAGGATGTATTAAGATCTTCTCCCACTGTCTGGGCTCTTTCTTCTCTCCGTTGATTGTTATCTTTGCTTTATAAATATAATTAATCATTAATAATTAATTTTTTGGGGAATATCAAATGCTACTTGTCTGCTAAAGAATGTAGCAATGGAATGACTACTCATGAAATTCTGTACTCTATACTCATAGATAAGTTCCTTATTCAGCATCATCAAAGAAGTTTCCTCCTCAATTTGATAGGAACAAATACAGACAATATTCACGAGGGAGAGGCCTAAACAGGGATGTCTCGATCAAATCACTCCCTCAGGGCTTAGAAAATCTGCAGAAGAGGAGGTCAAAAGAGAATGCAAGAGCAGAGGGGATGTGGGACACTTATAAAATAAAGCTTTATAGATACATCAAGGCTGTCACACATATGAACTCACAGAGACTGTGACAGCAGACACAGGGTCTAGATTAGTCTTTAACAGATGGGGTCATAGAGCTGAAAGGAGGCATGGACACAAGCCTCATACACAACACAGATGATATCTGCAATTCATAGACGAATAAAAAATTAGTTTTCTCCAATGGAGAAACAAACCACTCTCAAGGGTGGTTGGCACAGCAGTAAATGTCCAATGCAAAACAAAATCAACACCATCTTTAAGGATTTTAATCACATATTTTGAGTCACATTTTTTTTTGTCTTACATTTTTTTTTTTGTCTTATAATGATGGATTTTCTATCCAGACAAGCTGATGGACCCCTGTCAGATGACTGATGTCATCCATGACATCACTGTGTTTGCATTTTAGCATTAAGGCTCTTTTTAAAATTTATTTTTTATTAATTACATTTCATTCACTTTGTATCCCAGCTGTAGTCCCCTCCCTCAAAATCTCACAAACCAACCCTCTCTCCCTCATCTCCTCCCATGCCCCTCCCCAAGGCCACTGATAGGGGAAGTCCTCCTCCCCTATCCATCTGACCCTAGCCTATCAAACCTGATCAGGACTGGCTGCATTGTCTTCCTATGTGCCTTGGAAAGGATGCTCCCCCTTCATGAGGAGGAGATCAAAGAGCCAGCCATTGAGTTCATGTCAGAAACAGCTCCTGTTCCCATTACTAGGTAACCCACATGGACATTGAGCTGCCATGGGCTACATCTATGCCGGGGTTCTAGGTTATCTCCATGCCTGGTCCTTGGTTGGCGTACCAGTCTCAGAAAAGAGCCCTGCGCCCAGACTTTTAGTTCTGTTGTTCTCCCTGTGGAGCTCCTGTCCCCTCCAGGTCTTTCTATCTTCCCCTTCTTTCATAAGATTCCCTGCACTCTATCCAAAGTTTGGCTATGAGTCTCAGCATATGCTTTGATGCCCTGCTGGGTAGAGTCTTTCAGAGGCCCTCTGTAGTAGACACCTGCCCTCTTCCCTGTTTTCTCCTTCTTCCGATTTCTGTCCCATTTGCCTTTCTGAATGAGGATTGATCATCGTACCCGGGATCCTCCTTCTTGCTTAGCTTCTTTAGCTGTACAGATTTTCGTATGGTTTTGCTATATTATATGTCTAATATCCACTTATAAGTGAGTATATACTGTGTGTGTTTCTGCTTCTGGGATACCTCACTCAGGATGATCTTTTCCAGTTCCCACCATTTGCCTGAAAATTTGAACTCATTGGCAAAGGAGACAACTTCCTGAATAAAACACCAACAGCACAGACTCTAAAATCAACAATCAATAAATGGGACCTCATGAAACTGAAAAGCTTCTGTAAAACAAAGGACACTGTCATCAGAACAAAACAACAACCTATAGATGGGGAAAGGATCTTCACCAACCCTATATCTGACAGAGGGCTAATATCCAGAAATTAGAAAGAACCAAAGAAGTTAAAAAGCAACAAATGAAGTAATCCAATTAAAAAATGGGGTACAGAATTAAACAGAAAATTCTCAATAGAGGAATATTAAATGGTAGAGAAACACTTAAAGAAATGCTGTTGTGGGGTAATAATATTTATTGTTGATTTTTCTTTTAGTTAAGCACTGGTTATTCCTAAACCAGCTCTATACCCAAATCACCACAAAGAAATTAGGATTTATTTAATTAACCTAGAGCACAATGTTGGGCAATAGTTACTCCATCCTAAACCTCCAACCCCCCCCCCATAGTTTCCTACCATTCAGATTTCACTCATTATACTTGCTTCTAGTCATATCTTAGGTCCAGTACATCTCTCCTCATGGTTCCAAGTCCTGTCCTGCTGCTCTCTGCTCTCCTACTCCTCCCACTTGCTTCCTTCTCCTCCCCACCTTATTCTCTCCATTGTTCAGCATTGTGGCTGGTTGTATTATTGACAATACAAATAACAAATTTTGGCATGTTTACACAAACT